TAAAAAAAATAATTGTTTTTAAGAAAAAATATGTAATTATTTACAATGTATCTTTTTATCTTATTTTTTTTATACCAATTGATTTATCTCATTATTCTGTACATAAAAGTATTGCGGTAAGATTATCGAAAACTAAATATTTTACGAGATATTTTATTCTTTAAAATAAAATATTTGTGGTACACAAAATTATAAATAGAATGTTGTCCTAAATTTTATGGCGAATTATAAATTCTCTAAAGTGTGCTCAATTTTACCAAAATCAACTAACACATCCGAATTAAAATTATTTTTTTTTAGAATAAAAAAGAGAGAGAGATACAAAATATAATAAAGTTAATAAAAATATTTTAACGTTAAACACAAACATGCCTGGAGAGAATTGAGACATATTTCTACTAACTTATCTTATCTGAACAATGTCTGACGCTAAATTGACATAAGACAATGTCATCTATTCGGTGTAAGCAACAATTACCACACGAAAACAATAGAACTCCGCCATGCAGTAACTTAATGCCATCTATGAAAATTGGGCACGAACTTATGCAATCATCCAATATATATTAATCGACATATGCGTAATTATCAGAATTTTAAGAAAACTTTCTGTATTTTATGCATTGTTCAGAAACAAGTTCGTAGCTATAAGAGACGCGAAATGAATCCGATGGACGTTGGATCTGATTGCAAACCGATTGAAAGATCACGGTACGGTGTATACGTGTGTGAAAAGAAGACATCGCATCGTTCGCAGATGCTATATCCTCGTTTCTGAGAGCTATTCTTGCCGCTTTGTTATTTCTCAAGGATCGAATAATAGAAGAATAATCGTTGGAAGAGAATTGGTTAGATCGTAGAATAGGTAACGTATCCTATAATTCATATAAATTAGTACATAATGAGCGTACACATATTCTGTGTGAACTATATAATTCTTTTCTTTTTCGCCCGAGATCTCAGTTTCTTCAGAACGCGAAAAATAAAAGCAGAAAAGTGATAAAATCAAACTCTCTTAAAACAGCGTAAATATATTATTCATTTCCAAAGAACCCCGCACTAATCATATGGAAAATCTGTCCCGGTCAAATCAATTGGTTCATACACACACACACACATACACACACAGCAGAGAGGGTTTGGAGTCAAAATTTACTACGGGAGTGACGAAACGTGAGGTCCTTATCTCTGCTGTGACACATAAAGATTTTTGTTCACGGAGCTTTTCAAGGTCATTCAAAATTCACAAATAATGTCACCAACTAACAGATTTTGTAAAACCCTACTATGTTTGTTTCAAACATTTTTCAAAAAAATCAATACCTTCCGAGATTTGACTATTCGGCAGTCCGAATTTTTCATGTTTGACTGGTTATAATTCGATAACTGTCCATTATTGAGCTTTGTGCCCATAACATCTTTTGTTCAGTAGGTCATAAGCTACAACATATGTAAAAACCAATTGATTTGACCGGGACAGATTTTCCATATGATTAGTGCGGGGTTCTTTCAAAGACGAAACTTTTAAATCCCTTTATATACAGGGTATTCGGTCAAACAAACACTATATTCTAGAAATAAAAACAAACAAACAAAAATTTAATAAGCATGTGCCTAAAAACCAACCATGTAGCAGAATGACAAGATAATGACGTCTATTTTTAGTCATTATAGTCTATGATGTCGGCTGATAATAATTGAATTGAATTGTGTAAAAAACATCATTTCTTAGACCAATCAAAGACGTCATTTTGAAAACGTTCTAAAGTCATACAAATATAAAGTGTTTTTGTAACTTGTATTGGGGTTCATTCGCTTACCACTATACGACGCGCTATTCGCTATCTACATACAATACTCGTATTCAAGTTTTTGTCATGAGCGAATATAAAGCCTGCAAAATGCGGTTAATATGATATTGTAACAACTATTTTTATCAATTTAATTTTTGATACGATTCTCATGCAAGGAAATTCAGATATTGAATCGATTTTTAGAAAATTGGACATAATAAATGTCCGATTTTCACTTAGACTATTTACACAGAAATTGCCCGTATAAAGTGTAAATCGTTCGTTATTATCTGCCTAAAATATAGAATAGAAGTTAACTTTCATATAAATAAAATCTTTATAATTTTATAAACTATTTAAAATTTATATGTATATTATAATAATATGTATATTTTATTATATATTAATATTGTAGGTCTTATTTTTGCCATTAAAAAATCGTCAAAAAATGACGTCCCGTATATGTGATATATTGATGTCATTTTCGAATCTCATAAGATATCTAACTTAGGACATCTCATTAGTTTTGTGATTAAAATTTATCGTCATTATAATGTCATTTTGCTACTTGAGCATCGCGCACCCATTCCTCTCGCGAACACTGCATATATAATAATTATTATTATTTAAAATAAAAGTATTAATTATTAAAGTACTAATTATACTAATTATGCTATACTAATTATATTAATATAAAGACGAACAAAGAAACAGGCAGTCAGAGCCAAGCCGCAGGTGGTCGGGCGCAAAGAATTTAGTATTTAAAATTACATATAAAAATACAACGAGCATACGTTTCGGCCCCTTTTTTGAACCACCTTCAGCATAGGTTAACAATATAATCAAAATTAACGCAATCGGACAAACTATAACATAAGATCGTCTAGTAATAAAAACAATAAATAAACTCGCAACGTCAGTGAGTAAAAAATAAATAAATACGGAGACAAGATATGGAAGAAAACAAATTGATAAAAATGTTGTCGCTCATGTCAGTGCCACAGAATAAATCTCCGATGTTTAACTTCCGAAATATAAAGAACTAATAAATATAATATAAAGAACTATTAAATAATATAAAGAACTAATTAAAGTAAAAAATTAAAGTTTTTAATGTGCATTCATACATCTTGCGATTATTATACTTGTAAAAAATTTTAAATTTTGGAAGTTGATTTTGTTTGCGAGTAGCGTTGCTGAAAGATGGAATAGCAATAGTGATGATAATATTACAAAGACAATAGTACACAAAAAAATAGTTCGCGGTGTATTGACATTTATTATTAAATATTATAAATATATTTTTATTGATTAACCCATAAATCTTTTTTCCAAATAATTCGATAACATTTGAAATTTCCGTATTTTTATAACATTATAGTAACAAAAGTACGTCCATATGTATGTAATACATGTAATCATACTATATAAAATATTGTAATTGTGTATTTTTAATTACATGAAAATAAATTAGAGAATCGAAGGATCTAATCTAACATATAACATATTAAGATTTTATGATAGTTTTGGAGTTATAAGCGCTTAAAATGAAATATTAGTATTAAGTACATTTATATTTCTATTATTACCCAGTGAGCATTATTGAGAGGATAAGCTCTTTAAGAGGACTTTTTAAAGACTTAATTAAATTTTCTTAGAAATGATATCAGTAAGTTATCTTTTTGTAAGATATCTTTCACAAGAGCTCTTTATGATATCTCTTCATAGATATCTCTAAAATCTCTAGCAAGCGTGCCATTTAAGATATTTTACGAAAGCCGCACACATGCACAAGCAACGTGCATGTAAACTAGAGACCCTGTGTTCTAGTGTGAACTGCGTGCCACTGCATGCTCTGGATTTCAAAGAATCATATAATTGACATCTAAAAGAATTCCACAATCTGACTTCTTTTAAATATCAAAAAAATGTCACCGTTAAGAACCGTTCTATTTGTAGTATTATATTTTTGGGCGAGTTTTTTAATTCATCGATTGATCAATCGCATGATGCACAAATGTAGCAAATACAGGACTTTGCTGTACTTGCGCATCATATGCGATTGATCAATCGATGAATTAAAAAACTCGTCCAAAAATATAGTACTACAAATAGAACGGTTCTTAACGGTTACATTCTTTTGATATTTAAAATAAGAAGTCAGATTGTGGAATTCTTTTAGATGTCAATTATATGATGTCTTTCTTTCCTCTAAAATCGACGCATTGGAGGACTTATTGATATCATAATATTATCATTTTGATGGTGTTTTCGGAAGTCCGACTCTTAAACTTGAGTACTTTATGAATTTCTTTTGATAACATATTGCTCACTGGGTAAGTATAATTATATTTGCGCATTCATAACCGTAATTATGCATCAAGGTAATATCCGCCGATAGCAACAATTTTCAAATTCTTGCGTAAATAATAATTAAAAAAAAATAAAATAATCAATAAGATGTATGAGTAAACATAAAAAATTTGAAAATTTTCTGATGCGTAAGATAAAATAACAATGAAGGCAGATTGCTACTCGTGGACATTGATCCAAAACAAAAAGAATTTTTAAATTGGTTAATTTCTCTTCTATTCGCTTATCGTAATGTCATAAATTAGTCTCAGAATATTTGCCAGCTGTTGTCAGTGGTTTTATTTTTACGCTCGCGGGTGGTTCTTCAAAATTAAAAAATCAAGATTAAAAATTCATTTCAAGTCTTCAGATCCATCTTGATATCATTTCATAGTCTGAGAAACGCTAAATACATAGATAGCAGACACGCTATGCAAAGTAAAAAAAAATAAAAATAAAATTTTCGTAATATAGCGATCATCATTTGAAAAATGATATTTATTTCACGCTTTAATAAGACAATTTCTAACATAAAATTAATATTAACATCAATTATTTAAAATAGAATAAACATTACAATATTAAAAATTACAAATTAAACATCAATCGAGTGAAATGATAATGTACCTCGATATTTATCGCTTATCACCGGAACATCTGCAATTTATTTGTAAGCATTATATTCTACAACTTAATCGATTTCATTGATTTATATCGTAGTGTACATTACATCTAATATATGTGATTTTCGATATAAAAAATATAGAAACGAAACCATAAGGAAGCAAAAAGGAATCCGAGACGTACTTTCTACCGGAAAGAAATCAAGGAACTTTACGAAACAATTCAGGTAGGATATATTAATATAATTTATTTGAATAATTAAATAAATTACTAACTAATAGTAAACCTTGAAAAAGTTTTTTTTCTAATCCGTAATATTTTTTAAAGGACGTGTTCATTAACAGAGTCTTGATATGGCCACGATGGCTGGAGGGGAATATACATCCGTGAAGGACTTTTACAGGGATAGGTCGATTTTTATAACCGGAGGTACGGGTTTCATGGGTAAAGTTCTCGTCGAGAAGCTACTCAGATCATGTCCAGACATCAAGAACATCTATCTTCTGATGAGACCCAAGAAAGGCCAAGATGTGCAAGAGAGGTTGCAAGAACTCTTAAATGCACCGGTAATTACCTCTCCTTGTCTTTGGGTCACTGCAGTTTCGAAAAATTAAAATCATATTTCTTTCGTCAGCTATTTGAGAAATTACTGCGGGATTCTCCGGGCGAGCTGTCGAAGATCATACCCGTGGCTGGTGATGTTACGGAGCCGGAACTGGGCATCTCGGCAGACGATCAAGATATGTTAATACGATCCGTATCGGTCGTTTTTCACTCAGCGGCCACCGTTAAATTCGACGAGGCGTTGAAACTCTCAGTCACCATAAATATGTTGGGCACCAAAAGATTGGTTCAATTGTGCCACCGCATGCGTAACGTGGAGGTAAGAGAGAAACATATTTTCTTCTTCTTTATTCGAATCGCAACGTTGAGTCGAGATTTGCAGATCTTATAAATCCTAAATCAACTAATCAGAGACATGCATTGTCCATCAATCAATCTTACATTTTACGAATATGTGCGTCTTTACGAAAGATTACAGCATCTTTTTTCTACACGGAGGGTTACATCTCTACTGCATCAAAAGATACACTCTCGAAGTATAAGTTCTCGAGAATCTTTTGAATACTTCGTTTCTCGTTTGCTTATGGCATACGACGTCGATTTTTAATTAATCAACAGCTCTCTAACTCTGTTCAAGTTTCTGCTTAATAGTGAAATACATTCAATTCGTATCTACATATTCCGAAAGGTAATTAGAGCCGGTTTATATACGGGTGTATTTGTACTTTGCACTCTTATTATATCGCGCGATTCTTCTCACCGATCGTCTATGTTCAATAACCCTATCTATATATTTTTTTTCATATTATATTCTAAATTAGTCACATTATAAACTAAATTACTCAGATTATAATGCGCAAATAATTATATGTGTATAAAACATATAGCATAAACAAGAAAAAAATTTCCAAAAGTATATTTAAAAAAAAAGAAATATAAATTTTATTTCTTATTATTTTATTTTTAGTTTATGTATGCACATATTACATATATAGAAAGAAAGCGTTAAAAAAAAACAACTTACATCCAACTCATAAATGATGTTTGACAAATTTATCTATAATCTTCTTTATTTTTTTTCTTTATTTTTGATAATTTGTTAAATTTGGATAAATTGATAAATTGAACAAAAATTGTTGAATGTAATATTTATTGATAACATCGTATTGAAGAATACCTATTTCGATAATCTAGTTATATATATTCTAGAAAACCATATATCTCCCACAAACACATAAAAAAGGATAGAGTTTATAAATATGCCTAATTAATAAAAAATAAGCTTCATCTTGTAATATGTGTGGTCATTAAATAAGGATAAACATTTATCTCTTCACTTTTCTTCTAAGTGTACCTTACTTTTGTAACTTTCTTCGTGTACACATTAAATCTTTACACATAATAGCCATTAGGAGTGCATGTTCAGTTGCACTGAGAGAGGAGAGTCGGACATTCACAATCGCAGTTCGTGTTTCTCATAATTTATAATGAAAGTAAACGTAATGAATGCAAGTCTTTAATTGCAGGCGCTTGTTCACGTCTCGACGGCATATTGCAATTGCGATCGGCATGATGTCGCCGAGGAGATTTATCCGGTGGGGAAGGAGCCCGAGCAAGTGATCGCTTTAACAAAGTGGATGGATGACAAGATGGTCGAGGAGTTAACTCCAAATCTGATTGCTGGCCGACCAAATACGTACACATTTACTAAAGCGTTGGCCGAGCGAATGCTCCAACGGGAGAGGGGTTCTTTACCAGTGGCGATTGTCAGGCCGTCGATCGTGTTGTCATCCTACAGAGAACCGGTCGCCGGTTGGGTAGACAATTGGAACGGGCCTACCGGGATCATTGCTGCCGCCGGAAAAGGCTTCTTCAGGTAACATGAGGACTGTCATAATTAATGATAATGCAATAGATTCGTTATTTTGGTTCTGATATTTTGATCCCATTAGTCTGAATAATCTTCATAAATCATACATAATCACTCCTATAAATCTCCACAATCTCGTTTACAGAACTATGCTGTGCCGCAAAGATAAAGTGGCGGATTTGGTGCCCGTTGACATAGTGATAAATCTAATGATTTGCGCGGCATGGAGGACTGCCATGCATCGCACCGACACCATCTCGATTTACAACTGTTGCACCGGTCAGCAAAATCCAATAACATGGAAGCAGTTCGTTGATCTATCGTTCAAATATAGCCGGATACACCCGGCAAACGATGCGCTCTGGTATCCGGACGGTCGTTGTCACAGCTCCATTATCATAAACAAATTGTGCGTGACGCTTCAGCACACGCTACCCGCGCACATCTTAGATACCTTAGCATGGCTGAAAGGCTCGCGGCCGATAATGGTCCGTGTACAGGCGAAACTCTCCAAGGCTGCCAAGTGTCTGGAATATTTCAGCACGAAAGAATGGAACTTTAGAGATGACAACGTACGACGACTCGGTGAGCAGCTCAGTCCGGAGGATCGGGAAACATTTATGTTCGATGTAAGGCAGATCGATTGGCCGTCATACTTGGAGCATTACATCTTGGGAATACGACAGTTTATTTTGAAGGAGAGTCCGGACACACTGCCAGCTGCTCGTTCACACATCACAAAGTGAGATATCTCTTGTTTTTGTTTATTTTATTTTTTAATTATTTTTTAAGTACTTATGTGTTAATGTCCAGATAATAAGGAGACCCTCTATCTATCTATTTATCCATCTATTTATTATGAAAAAAAATTCCATCAGTCTGATATGCTTTTACTTATGTCTGTTGCAGACTTTACTGGCTTCACAGGGCTATGCAATTCGGGATGCTGATAATAATGTTGCGCGTTTTGCTATTACGCAACGCCGCGACGCGAGGAGCCTTCTTTTCGCTGCTGTCTATCGTACTTCGTATATGCCGCTTGATTGTTTGACGGCTCAGAATAGGCCCGGTCGATGATTGCGATCAGCGTAACACGAAGCGGCCGCTATCCACGGAGCGTTATTTAAACGTACGATTTGTTCTTCGACCTCGTTGCTCAGCCTCCTCAACGATAAAGCGCTACCTTCATACCACTTATCGATTGGCCTTCTCGATATTAATCGTTGGCGAGTAACATCATCGGTTATACGTATTTGATTTATAACAAAATGTCGGTTACCGATTCGATTGTGCGCGAGTGAACAAGATCTTTGTGATGAAATTATCCCCCGATAAGTACAAGTTCTCAAATTTTGCATATATCACAATAATAATAATAATAGTTATTATTATTATTATATTACCAATGTTATTCCTTATATTATTTTGTGTGAAATCAATTGTCGATTTCTATACATATAGTAGTAAGTAGTATGATCGTCATTGCGTGTTCCATTATGCTATAGAATAAAAATAAACACGCATCGCCACTTGATTATTCCGTTATAGCGTCATTGTACATCGATACTTTGCACAACGTCAATTTCTAATAAATAAAGTCAAGTTGTGTCAGCACGCGATTGTGTTGCTAAAGCGAGCTCGGTACGTCGTTAGTCTAGGTAGTTGGTTTTCAGCAAAGATAAGAAATGCTCGCTAGTAATCTCACACACACACACATGCACACGCGCGCGCGCGCACACACACACCCACACCACGCCAAACACACCACATCGCACACACGCGCACGCACGCACGCACGCGCACACACACACACACACACACACACACACACACACACACACACACACACACACACACACACACACACACACACACACACACACACACACACACACACACACACACACACACACACACACACACACACACACACACACACACACACACACACACACACACACACACACACACACACACACACACACACACACACACACACACACACACACACACACACACACACACACACACACACACACACACACACACACACACACACACACACACACACACACACACACACACACACACACACACACACACACACACACACACACACACACACACACACACACACACACACACACACACACACACACACACACACACACACACACACACACACACACACACACACACACACACACACACACACACACACACACACACACACACACACACACACACACACACACACACACACACACACACACACACACACACACACACACACACACACACACACACACACACACACACACACACACACACACACACACACACACACACACACACACACACGCACGCACGCACGCACGCACGCGCACACACACACACACACACACACACACACACACACACACACACACACACACACACACACACACACACACACACATCGTTCTCGCAACACGACGCATCAAGAATCCGTCGTGCCTTTATATCGTCGGTATCTGACATTCTTTTCCTTTTTTTACTCTGTGACGTAAGATACCTAGATAGATATTTTGCTACAATCACACGAGATGGCTCTGTGGTTATGCGTTCAGAGGTAAAAATTGCAAACGAGATTTAGAAATAGTAAGAAACCCGATCACATACGTAGAAAGAATACCATGATAAGGGTTGGGGG